ACAGTGTGGTCTACAGAGTGAGTTCTGGAACAGCCAAAGCTACACAGAGAAACCCTGTCTCTAAAAACAAAACAAAAAAGAAAGATATGCAATATACTAATAATCCGAGAAATGAAAACAAGGATATATGACCTCACATTTGTTAATATGGTTGTCATAAGAATAACAACAACAAAACCCCCAGACACTAATACGTATTAACAAATATACAGAGAAAGTAGAATTGATGTGCACAGTTGGTAGAGATATAAAAAGATGTGGCCGCCAGGCGGTGGTGGCGCACGCCATTAATCCCAGCATTCGGGAGGCAGAGGCAGGCGGATCTCTGTGAGTTGCAGGCCAGGCTGCACCGATATCCTCCGAAATAATACAGAGAAACCCTGTCTCGTAAAACCAAAAAAAAAAAGTGGGCTACAGAACTAAATAGAGAATTCTCAATAGGGGAGTCTAAAAATGGCTGAGAGACACTTGAGAAAGTGCTCAACATCCTTAGCCATCAGGGAAATGCAAATCAAAACAACTCTGAGATACCATCTTACTCCTGTCAGAATGGCTAAAATCAAGAACACCAAAGGTAATTTATGCTGGAGAGGATGTGGAGAGAGGGGAACACTCCTCCACTGCTGGTGGGAGTGCCGACTCATACAGCCACTTTGGAAATCAGTATGGAGATTCCTCAGGAAAATGAGAATCAATCTACCACAAGACCCAGCAATTCCACTCTTAGGCATTTATCCAAAAGAAGCAAATTCAAACAACAAGGACATCTGCTCTACTATGTTCATAGCAGCATTATTTGTAATAGCCAGAACCTGGAAGCAACCTAGATGCCCCTTAACTGAAGAGTGGATAGAGAAAATGTGGTACATTTACACAATGGAGTAGTACTCAGCAGAAAAAAAAACCAGTGGAATCTTGAAATTCACAGGTAAATGGATGGCACTAGAACAAACCATCCTGAGTGAGGTTACAAAAAGAGTAACATGGTATGTACTCATATATGGATTTTAGACATGGATCAGGATAGTGCCAGTCTGCACTTCCAATGTCAGAGAGTCTAGGAAACAGGAAAGAACCTAAGAGAGATATGCATGGTACCCCAGAGAAGAGGAATGAGGCAAGATCTTTTGCACATATTGGGAACATGGGGAGGCGTGGGGGGAGTGGGAGCTGGGAAGAAGAGAGGGGGAGAAGAGGAAGAGAGAGTAGGTCATGGGGGAACAGGAAGGTTGAGTGGGGGGTAGAATAGGGGGAGAACAGGATAAGAAATGCCATAATAAAGGGAGTCATAGGTTAGATGACAGATCTGGCACCAGTGAGACCTCTAGTGATCTAAAGGGATGACACCAACTGGCAACCTAAGAAATAGTGGAGAGACCACCTTAAATGCCCATTCCTGATAATGAACTTGATGTCTATAACCATGCTGGAGCCTTCATCCAGTGACTGATGGAAGCAGAGGCAAACACCCACAGTTAAACACTGAACTGAACCCATGGAACCCAGTGATACAGAGAGAGGAGCAAGGAGCAAATTGGCAAAGAATGGGCTGGCAAAACCAGCAGAGACAGCTGATCTGAACAGAGGCGAGCTCTTGGACCCCAGACAGACAGCAGGGAGGCCAGCATGGGACTGATCCAGACCTCCTGAGTGTGAGAGTTAATGAGGAGGCCTGGGCAACCTATGGGGCCCTGGGCAGTAGATCAGTGTTTATCCCTGGCATACAAACAGACATCGTGTGTCCATACACAAAGAGGGATGCTCTCTCAGCCTGGGCTCTTAGGGGAGTGCCTGATCCCTTCCCTGAGTGAAATGACAGACTATGTGGAAGGAAGTGGGGATAGGGTGGGAGGCTGGGGGGGATGGTGGGAGGCTGCGGGAGGAGGGGAGGGAGAGCGAACTGGGATTGACATGTGAAACAAGCTATTGAAAATTAAAGTAATAAAGCACTAGAGACTCAGGGAAATGGCTCAGGGAGTAAGCTGTCTCCAAGGAAGACAGTAGAGAGGACTAGAAGGACACTTGATGTCCTTCTCTCCTCCAAGCATGCCACAGGTGTGTGCATCCCTCCCCATCAACATATGCAGACACTCCACGCACCTCTCTTCTCCCTTCTCTCTCTGTGCACCCCCACATACTTTCTAATGAAATGGTTCCTCTAGGAACCGCTGGAGCGTCTCATGCCCTCCTGGACTTTCCACTCCTGATGCTCTGTAAGTAGAACAAACATTAGAAATGCATAACGCATTCCTTGTTGGGAGACAGGCCCTGGTCCCAGCTGAACCCCTAGGCTGCCCCCAGCAGTTCTCACTTGTCCTTGTTGGGAGACAGGCCCTGACCCCAGCTGAACCCCTAGGCTGCCCCCAGCAGTTCTCACTTGTCCGCCATGCTGCTCCCTTTCCCATGGGCCATGCCTACTTCTCGCCTTTATTGCTGTATTCTTCTACTGAGCACAACGGCAGTCCTGCCATCTCCACACTCTTAGAAGCACTTTGGAGATTCATCAAAGCTTTCATCTTTTGGGTATCAATAATCAAAGGGAAGTAGTTTAGAATAAAACCTCAAACGACACCATCTCCACTTTGTCTCGATTCACTCTTTTTCAGAACAGATAGAGAAAGACAAGGGTCTTGCCTTTGACCCTCAGTGGTTGTGACACTTGCTGACCTCTGGAGGTGTCCTTTTATGCCAAAGGTTCACACTAATACTCTACATTCATTTACTCAACACTCCAGGGCCAGGACCCAAGCATACTTGTCTTCACAAAGTTCCAAATGGTTATACTAATGCTCAATCATTGCTGTAAGTCACTTTCCAATTCCAAGAAAAAGCAGATCTTGTGTACGCTAATATGAGGTCAAGCGCTTCTGAGTCATCAGGACTTTGAGACAGTTGGTCTGGGGTGGAAAGCGCTGGATTGGAAATTGGATCCCTGAGCCCTCTTCATGAGGTGTTCATCTTTATGAAAAATTAAAAAGTCCGCATATAAACAGCTAAGACAAAAGTCTGGTGCATTCTAGAGGAATCCAACAGATCCCCTGTCAGCTGAGCTGGATTTACCCTCCCTCAAGTAAGTATCAGCAAATGTTCGAATAACAGCCATTTGAGAATTCACAAATCAGCTTCCTGGAGCTGCCACAACCAAGTCCCACAAACTGGATGCCTTAAGCGACACAGGATTTTCAGCATTCAGTCAGGCATTCGAAACCAGGGTGACTTAGTTTTTTCATGTGATAAAATATCCCTAGACAAGCCAGAAAGTGTTAACTACATCTCACATTTCTGGAATACAGCTCACCATGATGGAGATGTGAATGGCAGCAGGCTCTCGAGGCAGCTCGTCACATTGAATCTGCAGTTAGGAAGCAAAGGGTGATAAAGCTTGTGCTCAGCTCTTTCTCCTTTTATACAGTCCAGGATTCCAGTCTAGTGAATGGTGCCACTCATAGTGGGCCGGTCTTCCCACCACAAGTAACATAATCAGAATAATCCTACATCGGCATGCCCAGAGGTCCATCTGCCAGAGGATTCCAGATCTTGTGACACTGACAATTGATATTAACCATGCAAGGTTGCCAGCATGTAGAGTCCTCATGTTCACAGATAGCATTAGGGAAAGCAGGAACATTAAGCTCCCAGGATTTTCTATTTGACACAAGGGATTTACAAATATTTCTGCCTGGAAAGCTTGGAATGATGCAGTTAACAGCTTAATTATCTTTTGCTATCTGTAGGGCCAGGCTCCACCCGAATCCCCAGACTCCTGAGCTTTGTCTCTCAGTCAATAGAACTCAGCCTTATGAAAGAGGACCCATGTACTTGCAGAAGAATTTACTATTATGCTTATCCCAGACCCTTCCTCCCTAGACCTTTATCCTGGGCACTGACTCTCAGTCAATAGAACCAGCCTTATGAAAGAGGTCAGGTGCTTTGAAAAAGATGTGCTTTGCCAGTGAGTTTCAATGTAGTCATGCCTTAAGCCTTACTGAGATAACTGTGATGAGGAAACTGTGTACCATGCTTAGCTGTGTCCTAATAAATAGCTTCAGGTCAAAAGATTGCAGCAAAGCACCTTACTACCCCGCTTTCATTGAACCTAAGGTCCTTCCGCGCCTGTCCCTCCTCATGAGTCTTCTGTTTGGTATGACTCCAGGATCCTGGTCCAGCCCCTACCATGCTCAGGCCTGGATCTGAGAACTGAGGAAGACAGACACAGGGAGGTGATAGCTAACGTATCTACAGAGCACCAAGCCATATTCCACCTTGACCTTTGCTCACTGATGCTCACCTTTGTGTGTCTGGTTGTATTGAAGGGAGGATGTGGGAATTTATCTTTTGAGGTAGGAATACAGAGTTTACAATTCTGTGTATGCCTTGTATAGCTGGGCCACCTAAGTTACCAAGATCAAGGGAGATTCCACTGCAAAATTGGGATTATAAAACAGAGGCTTCCTGAAAACATGCAGATGAATATATAGAAAACCCCCTCCCAAGGAATGCACAATATGAAAACATTATCCAATGGCCATAAAATAAAAGGTCTGCAAGAAAGATACACAGAAAATCTAGGGACTCTGTGCCACAGGAGTGGGCCCCAGGAACAGGTTTAATACCCAGAACAACCCCCAGCCTAGGTCCCTAGGTCTTTTGGTCCTAATAGAGACTTCCTATCCATGCCAAGGCCCAACCAACTCCACCCATCCAAAAGCACTCGACTCCCAATTAAGCAGAGAGAAGTCTCTAGCTTTGGAAGGAGGAGGTGCTGAATGGCTTCCCCTGTGTAACAGGAGAGACTCCTGGAACAGAAACCTCAACTTCTGGTCAGTTTGGGGAGAAGTAATTAGCAGGTAGGCCAGAGCAGCGCCCAGTGACATCATCAACAGTCCCATCCCTGGACAATCTCTTGCATCCTGGAGCTCTTCTGTGATGTCACTAGTGTTGTGGTGACACCAACTGCCTGCGGAGTATTCACTCAGTGCCTATAGGGCTCACCCGTAGACATGCTGGCAAGGCTAGGCAGGCTATTTGGGAGAGAGAATGGAGAGCGTGGAGAGACCAGAGAGAGGCAGAAGAAAGCTGGCCTTCGGTCTCAGCGTAAACCATGGAGAAGTAAATGGTTCTGGAGAAGGCACAGTGAGTTCTGAGCCGGGAATGGGGGGTTTCCTGGAGCAGACGGACTTGAACTGGACCTTCCAGTGATGGGGCAGAGCAACTGGGGCCTCTGCGAAGGCCCAGCTGATCTTCATTCCTGAAAGTAAAGGATCCCAGTCCATCCATCCCTAAAGCCGGGAGCTAGCAAGGGCATAGCTGTTGTGCTGGGCGCTCCTGGCTTCCCCATTTTTTTGGGTGGGGCAAGGAGGCCATCAGGAAGAAAGGGAGTGTCGTCTGCTCATGGAAGGGCTTCGCTGCCCTTCACCTTCACTGGTCTCCTGTAGGTGCAGCAGCTGTCTGGAACTAGTGACAGGGAGGGGAAAGTGCTTCTGACTGAGACCATGTCCTCAGGGTGTACAGCAGGGCCCTTCTCACCATCATTCCCTGTCAATGCTCCCTGAGGTTTCTGAGTCAGCAGTGCAGGTGTCAGGCCGTTCTCTGGTGCAGCAAAGAACTGTTAGAACAGGTGGATTAGAACAGAGACTGGCTGTCTATCTGTGAGGGTGCCTTGAGTCTGGTGACCACAAGACATGGCTTCTGTGTCTGCAGCCATGTGCCGTGGTGACCTGGCAGGGGATTTAGGCATCATCTCTACACTGGGCATCTGGGCACTTGTGGACTTTGCTGTTTTCCTCCTGACTTCTGAAAGCAGAGGCCTGAGTGTTCTGAAGTTTTATCCTGGGAACATTCCTGGGTGTCACTTAGGCCCCCTGAAGCAGAGCTGAGGGAGCCAGAGGAGATCAGCACCCACCTCTCTACAGAGCTATAGGCAAGTTGACACCTACAGCCTGAGCTTTCAGAACCAGCTAGGGCAAGGTGTCGTCTGTCAATCACTTCTGAACATCCGTCGGTGTGCCAGGGCTGTACTGGGATGAAGTGGTTTGTAGGGCAGATGCAGCCCGTCAGCTGCTGCACCTCAGTCCGTGGGAGACACCTAAACCTCTTCCATTACAGCTCAGTGTGATGAGAAGCAGTCGCATGCAATGGACTCTTGTGTGCTTTCCTGGGCTGGGGCTCGGGACATGGAGGCGTGTTGTCTCACACCTCATTGTTCACATGGCCACGCTGCCTGAGAGCACCAGAGCACAATTATTTCACACCTTACCTTCTGGATCCACTGTCTTCTTCATCATGCACCTCCGTGTGTGTGTGTGTGTGTGTGTGTGTGTGTGTGTGTGTGTATGTATGTGTGTGAGTGAGTGCGTGTGTCTGTGTGTGTGAGTGAGTGCACGCGTGTGTGTGTGTGAGTGAGTGCGTGCACGTGTGTGTGTGAGTGAGTGTGTGTGTATGTGTGTCTGTGTGTGTGGTGCGCACATGTGTGTGTTCATCAGGACAGTTTTCAAACCAGTTTAGGGTTGTCTTGCTCCTAAACTCTTGCAGGATTCTGTGTAAGAAAGCTGTGAACTGTGGATGGGCAGAGTCACAATGTTCTTCCCACAAGGTGGCCTTCTAGAAAGAACTGCATAAGCTCTGACAGATGATGCACTTGAAAGCAAGGGCAGGAGGGAGACGCCTGGCACTGCTGCCTCATCACTCTGGACTGTGCAGTTTTTCTCCTGGCTTCTGAGGCCGGGCTTGAGGGTCTGAGGACAGGCTTCGTCCTGGGCAGTTGGGAATAAGCTTGAGGAGGCTGTCCCCTGGGTCACCAAAGTATGTGAATGGACGGAGGAATTGGGAACAAGATGACCACTGAGACACCCCTCTGGCCTGCAGAGAGATGGGAGAGTTGACACCCACAGAAGGGAAGTCTCAAGCCTGAACTTTGAGAACCAGCTAGGCAGAGTCTTATCTGTCAGTTCCCTTCCTAAACACTCTCCATGTGCCAAATGAGAAGCCTGGTGGAGGGCAGGCACTGTTCCGTGGCAGCTGGATCTCTGGGTATTCAGAAGATCACTAGGCCTCTCCTGCGATGGGAGATTAGTGTGGTAAGAGGTGTGCAGATACAAGACGGAGTTTCGTGTGTGTTTGCCTGGACTACCATAACTGTATCTCGAAGGCTACAGATTTACTCATGGAAGTGTGAAATCTCACAACTGTTGTAAAGGCCAAGAAAGCTGTCTTCAGTCCCAAGGACAACTGTCTCTGGGCCGCTTTCTTAGCTGCTGGGATTTTTAGGCAATCCTTCATACCTTGCCTTCTAGATCTTCATCTCTAGCTTCAAGTGCACAGGGCATAGTCTCCTCTCTCTCCCCAGCTCCTCTCCCTACGTTCATAAAGACACTTTTCATACCAATTTAGGCACGGGCTTTGTTCCTTAACTCTGGTATGGCCTCAATTTGCTGGTCTCTACAAGACCCTATGGAAATAGAGTTGACATCCAACTTTGTTTGACTAGGGCTTCACCACCAGAAGAGACACAGATCACCAAACAGCCCGAATCAAGCCTAGGGCCCAAGGAAAACACTCTGGAGGAGAAAGTCCAGACATCTGGAGAACATGCGCTCCAGAATGACCAGGGCTGGCCCCTCTTTACAGGGACTGTCAGGATGAGTAGAAAGGTGGTGTGGAACCTTAATAAGTCACTATGGCAAATGAACCCTAAGTCTCTTCCATTGCCTATCCTTCTCATGTTCTATTTATTAGGATATCGTACCCAAATCTAGCAGAGTCATCTTCTCAAGAGCATGTGAATTGCCACATGTGCCTCCAGAACAAGGTATGTGGCTTGTGTATGCTGGTTGAAGTACCTCAGCAGTTTTACTCCATGACTGTGTGTTTTGCCTGCGTGCGTGTGTGTGTGTGTGTGTATGCGCACGTGCACGTGCATGTGTTTTTCCATTCATGAAGCCTCTTCATAGCATAGACTGATCTCTTACTTGCAGCTGCTCTTTCTTCAGGCTTCAGATTCCAGATTTGGGCAATCATGCTCTTTCTGGAGTGTTTGCTTTTGCCTGAGGGACCACCTCACTGACCCAGCACTCAGGTGACTCCAGCTGTAAACAGCTTATCACATCTTCACTAACAGCCTCATGGCTGGAATGAATGATGCCGAGGCGCTGGGGGAAGCTGGCATGGCTACATCCATGATTTGTCTTTGTCTGGATACCCACCCAGACCACTAACAGTCAGAGAATCTTCCCCAGGTGCTTGTTCGCTTCAGGGGACACATCTTTCTTTTATCCTCCCCTTCACCCTGACCTAGCTTTTCAATATCCTTTATTTCTCATTGAGTATGGATCAAACGGAGGGGAAGAGCCATTCTTGGACAGTTTGGAAAGTGAGCCTTCAATTCTCCACAGATAAAATTTTTTTAATGTAGCAGAGAGCTAGATTTTTGGCTTTGGAACGAGGAGGTGCTGAACGGCTTCCCTTGTGTCCCAAGAGGGACTTCTGGTCAGTTTAGGGAGAAGTAACTGGCAGGGAGGCAATCAGTAGGCAGGGACATCAGTAGTCCCTTCTCTGAACGTTCTACTGTGATCTGTCAGTGGGGAAGGCTTTCTGTATTTGCTCCTGCATGGCCTTTCCATTAACATGAGAATCTGAAACATCCAGCAAGTGGCTTGGGCATCCCCGCACCACCTGAGTGCTTCTGGACAGTGACAAATTTCTCCTGGCTTCTGAAAACACATGGTTGAGTGCTCTGAAGCCAAGGCACATTCTCTGCAGCCGTGAATTAGCCCTGGGAGGCTATCCCCTGTGTCAGCTCATGCAGGAGGACAGAGTAAACCAGCTGGATTCTGAGACAACCACCTCCTTGTAGAGAGATGGGAGAACTGACATTCACACAGCGGGAGACCCAAGTCTGGGGTTTCAGGCCTGGCAGGGCGAAGCCTCACCTGTCAGTCACTTCCTCAGCATCCTTCTGTGTGTCAGACTTGGACTGAGATGAGGTAGTGTGTAGGGCAGGGGCTGTGCCTTGACTTCCAGAAGTAGGCATTGCTGAGATAGCTAACCTCATCTAGCATGGCTTGTCAGTGTGATGTAACACCTGAAAGGTCATAATTTGTGCCACACCCCTCATTTGTTCTGAGGTCCACATAGTGTATTTGGGCAGCCACAGTCAGATTTCTGGAGAACTGGCAATCCAGGCTGGACATGGTGCAAGCTCCTCATTTCAGCGCTGTCAGTGGATTTAAAGGATGAAGTGGGGCTCTAGGAAAGCTCTGGGCCAAAGGGTCCTAACAATCTGTTCTCTTGTTCATTTGTGCCCTTTCCTTGGCTTTCTCATGGTTTGGTGGTATTGTATGCAAAGCTGGCCATGCCATCTTCCCTAAGTGCAGGCGCATTGTTGCACGTGGCTCCAGATCAAGAAATGTGGATTTTGTAGAACTCTGGGTGATGCTCCATAGCAGACACAGCACTTATGCTCCTCATGACTGTGCATGTGTGATTTTCTGAGGATGCCTTTATACGTCTGTGTCTGGCCTCTCACTAGCCATTCATCTTTAATGATCTCCAGTGCAGGAATTCATCACCACTCTTCCTGGGAGTGTTTGCTCTTGTGTTGGAGCCTCGCCCGGGGAGCCCAGTCCTTAGCATCTCCAGCCTGACCTGCCACTAGGTGATCTCACATTTGCTATCATCGTAATAGCTGGAATATGTACTGCTGAAGGTTTTGGGGAAATTTTCATCATTACCTGTGGAACTTAACTTTGGTATAACAGGACATGCACAACCCTTCACCACTCCCACACATTGTAAGAGCTCAGTGGATCCTGCCCAATGCATTTGTTCACTTCAGAGGACGATATTTCCTTTACACCATCCTGACCTGATTCCATAGCAACCTTTATTTCTCATCTTATCGACTAGAGAGCTTACGGATGGGAAGAGCCATTCCCAGGACATGTTTGGTGAGTGAGTGTTTAACTCCCCACAGATGAAGAAGTGCAAAGGTTCTCATGAAGCAGACAGATCTCTGGCTTTGTAAGGTGGAGGTGCTGAATGTCTTCCCGTGTGTTTCTGGGAAGGCTCCTGGGAAGGGCAATGTGAATTCTGGTGAATCACCAAAGATCTAGTTAGTAAGGAGGTGAGGGCTGGTAGTGGTGACCCTAAGTGTTCCTTCGCTAAACATTCTATTGTATCCCAGAGACCCCTTTGTATTCTCTGTGATGTGACCAGTGTTGTGGCAGCATCAAATGCCTGTGGGTTATTCATTCAGTGCCCATAGACATGTTGGCATGACCGAGCAGGCTGCTTGGGAGAGAGTGTAGAACATGGGGAGAGCAGAGATAGGTAGAAGGAAGCTGACCTCCAGTCTCAGTATAAAACATGGAGAAATAAATGGTTCCTGGGAAGGCAAAGTGAGTGCTGAGTAGGGGATGGGGAGTTTCCTGGAGGAGGTGGAACCTGAGCTGGGCCTTCTGGTAGTGGAGTTCAGCAGCAGAGAGCTCCTGGGAAGCAATAGGCCTATCCTGCTTCTCTGGGTTTCTGAAGAGCAGACCCAGAGTCAAGAGTTTCTGATGGTTAGTTCAGGAGAGTCATGAATTGTCCAGACTGCAGCTGCTGTTTCCTAAATATCATTTTGAGTGCCAAAGACTGGCAGGAAAAAAGGTGTCCCTCTCAGGGTAGGGTGACCATGCACTTCACCCTCAGTAGATTCCTTCAGTTTCTATGGCCATTAGGAAGGGAGAGAAACTCCTGTGGCCATGCACCAAGGCCTCAGGGATTCAGGTGCTTTGGTTCTGGACACATATGATTAGGACTTGGTGCTGCTAATCTCTAGGGACAACAGGACTTACCTGAATCACATCAGATATGAGGTGACACTGTCCTTCAAATCTACATGGCCAGGTTAGCTCATGCCTTCCATGGCCAGGGGACCTGCAATTGGGAGTGACACACATGATTATCCATGGTGGTTGAGGACAGATCCATAACTCATGGGCTCCAGCTTGAGAATAGCTGCTTTGATGTCTGGAAGCTTCACTAGGTCCATAGCACTTCCTCTTCCTTGGGCTTCTTCTTGGGACCCTGCATGGACTCGCTTGGCCCTATGCCATTCAAGTATACGAGTCCACTTGTCTTTATCCACCTTCAGGGACTACTGAGGAGGCACCACCCCAACTCTCCACCTCCCCTGAGCAGGAGCAGCAGATGAAAGAGTTGGAGAAACTCACCATTCAGTTACATCACATGACATGCGAGAGAAATGAGCTGCGTGGAATCCTGGCCAATTATTCCAACAAGGATTTGAACAACAGGTAGTCATAATGCCCAGTTCTTTGCTGACCATATTGACTTCACAGTATCAATTCCAGGGTTCTTGAGGTACAGTAGGCTAAAACTCCAGGATGTCTTGGTAAGTAAACTAATTTTCCTGAGTGCATTGGAGAGGCAGAACTTGGAGCCTGGATAGGAGTGAGATGGGGACACAGGCTGTTATGCTTCCTCCAAGTGAAAAGCAGAGCCTATGGCCTGAGTCACACTCTGCTGATAGGAGCACTAGTGTGTAATCTCTCAACAGGCGCTTCAAGAGGCCTTGACAGGCGCTGGCCGGTGGGACTGGCTAGGTGCTGTGAGTTTGTGGTGAGTCTTTGTAATTGACTAGGATATGATTGTGCGCTGACAGCTCCTGGCAGCAGCTGGAGGGGCCTGGTCCCATTCATCCATCTCAGCATGTTGCTGGGGGGCCTGGAGCTCACACTGCTCTTCTCGTGTCTCGTTCCTTATACTCTGAGACAATGCCTGGATTTCTTTGACATCCTGTATACATGTAGGTGTGTGTGTGTGTGTGTGTGTGTGTGTGTGTGTGTGTGTGTCTGTGTGTGTCTGTGACCCTGGGCATCAGGGGCTGGTGGCAGGGCCTGAGGATTTGCCATTCCAGGTGATGACACTGCTGAGGCCAGGGAAGGTCATTTTGAGCAGCACACCTCTGGGCCACTGTGCTCACATTGGTGGGACATTGGAATCCCCCTTTGAGTTTATAAGAGCTTCCTGATGTTGGGACTCCTCCCTAAAAATACTGATTGTGTGCTCTGCTCTGGTCCTCTGTGAGGCAAACAGGCACCCAGGAATTAGAATTCCTGTTTTGCAGGCAGGAGAAATGTCATCCCAGGTTTCTGGTGGGTCTGGATATGTGATGCAGAATCCTGGAAACTTCTTAGAGAGCTAACATATACTGATAGAACCACTGAGAGTGTTCGTTGCAGCCCAGGTTCCCTTGCTTTGGACTGCCTTCCTCATGTGGCTTATGTACAGATTAGTAAGTTAAAGCAGCATCACGGGTGCCATTGTATAAGTGTCAGCCTGTGGCATCCATTGGAGGGGTGGTTAATTCAGGAGACAGTCTTATTCATGTGATCAATGCTGCCTGCGCTCATGGGGTTCATTTCTCCTGGGGCCATGCCCTACCACAGGCTGAATTTTGAGCTTGAGATGCTCACTATGGAGCATAACCAGTTGATGTCTGACCTTCAGAAATTGCCCATGGAGATCAGCGATGCCTTGGACAAGTGCAAGAGGCTGATGGAGGAGACTGAATCCTTGAGGCGAGTGCCTGATTACATGGGGAGGGACTGTTTCTACCCTTCTTTGTCCTTGACCCAAAGTGAAGTCTCTGGTTCTAGCCTGTCTACTTCTGAGCAAGCATCCTGCCTTGTGCCCTTGGATTCAGTTTGCTAATGTGAAAAGACACTGGCCTTCTCCCAGCATTGTCCTGCCAGCTCCAGGAGCCCTTAGATGGACAAATGGTTTGCACCATGAAGAGGATGTCTGGCAGCCCTAGGATTCTGGGGCTTGACAGGGGCTTCATAGAGCTGGTTTCTAGGTGACCCCTAGATATGATTTATTCTGTTTGGGACTTCAGCCCTCCTTCAGAAAGTGTTTGCCCTTTAGTTTCAGATGGTTTCCTAAACCATGAAGAGTTAAGCACAGGTGGGGTCTGCACTCTGTTCCCAGAGGCACAGGATCCCCTTTGGTAACTGGGCTTTCAGAAGTACTTTGAGTCTTTCTGTAATTTGACTAGTCTCTGAATCATGCAATTTGATTATTCTCTGGATTTGGCCTGCCTCTGAGTGATGCTGGCTTGACTACTGAGAGTTCCATTCCTGGGCTGTCTGGGTACCTGGGACTTTTCAGGACTGGTAGTATTTGGAGGTAGGGATTTCAAATGGCTGCTCGGTGGAACTCACCATTTATTTTTGTGTGTGGTTCAGTTACTGGCATGGCCAGGTCCTAAGAGAATGGATTCAGCTTAAGAAAAACGTACATGCGTCAAGACTGAAGAACAGATTGCTGCGGAAGGAGCAGATAGAACTGCAAGAGTCCTGTGAAGAGGTGAAGAGGCTCTTTAAGGAGATCCATGAGATCTGTGACCCCTGTGCTGAGCAGCATCAGGTAGGCTGAGGCAGCATGGGAGGGCGGCCCACCTGTCAAGTATAAACCCAGAGACACCCATGAAACCATCCACCCACCCACCCAGACTCCCACCCACATGGCATCCAATTGTTCATTTCCTTGATCATTCAAATGTTTCTCTGTAGAGTTATCTCCTTACAAGAAACTGGATGGTTTGCAAGCTCTCCTGCTCTGCTAGAAGCTGCTGTCCATCAAGGGAGGTGGATCAATCACATATCACACCTATATGCCATTATGTTAGCAGGGCTGCTATGCAGGGAGCTACTTAGGGAATAGCACAGAGATATCAGTGATGAGGTCAGAAGCCTGTGACTCATGTGCTTTGCTGGGGTCACATGAGATCACAGGTGGGAAGTAGCTTTCAAGGATGAGAGCCCAGTGCCAATACCAAGTGAGTGGTTCTCAATGTCATACTTCTGGGTGCCATGTGGTACTTTTTTTCCTGTATCTCATTGTGTTTGCTTCCTTTTGCCAAGCTCTTGGTTCACACTGACAGAAGGCTGACTGACACCTTGTCAGCCCCTTTTCTGTGACCTTGGTGGACATTTCCCCCATTCTGGAACTTCCAGTCTGGAGCTGACTGGATGACCATAGATGTGGGAGGACTTTGACAGCCTGAGGGCTGTGGTGGCAGATTGGAGACTTCAAGAGAACATTATCTCCAATAATGTCAACGTCAACATAATCTGACGAAGCTGTGTGCTCCCCTAGGCATTTTAGTCCCCAGGAGATGAACAGCAGTGTTGTGGGTCTGGGTTGAAACACCTGATGTGCATAGTCCAGATTCAACTGCTCACTCACCATGATGTCCTCTTCAGTTTTTTCTGCTCACTCCTGATTTCTTTGGTCTGTGTGTGATCCAGACAGTTGTGTGTGAAAGTGTACAATGGTGTGTATGTCTGCAGGCTACTTAATGAAATCCGGTGTTGTCCTGTCTTGTTCACTCCTGTAGTCCCCTGAGCTCAGG